AAAAATAATTTCTTACGTTTAAAAGAAAATTAGCGAAATTACAATAAAATAGATTAGGTGTACTTAATAATGCACACTAAATTTAGCAATCTGAAAATTTCTGAACTTATCTATACCTCAAGCTTAAGGACATCACAGCGTTTGAATTTGCCACCCATGTATTGTGTTTGTCTCTGGGATGTCTTATAACGAGTACAGGCCAGCAGGAAGGTTTTCGAAACGTTACTAGCTAGACATTCAAACAGTTTCATGGTATTTAAACATTAGAAAGTTTCACTTAAGTCCTGACCTAGAATGTAATGGTCTCGTTTATTGGCCTTAACTCATTCACCCCTGAAATTTCATAATGATCTATTCCAATTGCCTTTGAATTGCAAGAGTTCAAATGTGGCTTCAGGGGAGAATGAGTTAAGAAATGTACGCCCCTGTTATGTTATGTTTGTGTGATATACTTATATATTTAAGGCCAATTGTTGCTACATGCAAAAATAATATGCAAATAAAAATATCTCAAAAATACCGGCATTCTGCTGTACCCATACCAACAGTGGTGTATTAAAACATGATTTTAAAAGTATTGATACCACCGGCAGTATATACGAATGACATCAGCAGAACCTATCTATTTTAAAGCTAACTTAAAAGATTGTACCGAGTGTACACATAACCTACATTTAAACTAGAGTAAATATAAAGAATCAATACAAGTAATGTATTAGATATTGTATTACAGGTTTACACAGGTGTGCCTGTCTGGTATACTGACCTAGATTTCAGGTACAGGGGCCCCCTTCCCCAATGTCTAATATACATAGTGGACAAGATTTCAGGTACAGCTGTACCCCCATCTCCATTGTCTAGTAAATGTATGCATATGGGACAAGATTATGGGTACTCCTTTCCCCAATGTCTAATATACTGGACAAGATTTCAGAAACTCCCTTCCCCGTTGTCTATATATATACATGTACTAGACAAGATTTCAGACACTCCTTTAACAGTGCCTAATATATATACTGGAAAAGTTTCAGGAAGTTCCCTCTTCGAATTTCCCGTCGTCTAGTATATGGGACAATATAATGGGTACTCCCTTCCCTGTTGTCTCTATATATGTATATACTAGACAAGATTTCAGACGCTCCTTCAACAGGGCCTAATATACTGGAAAAGATTTCAAAAAGTTCCTTCTCCAAAATCTGTTCCCTGTCGTCTAGTATACTAGTATATGGGACAAGATCGTTACTCCCTTCTAGTCTACAGTGCCTAATATGACCTACGAAGAATATTCTGAATCTAATTTGCCATTCTCCACAAAGAATATAGCAATACAGTCTTAAGACCAGTAGAAGTATTAATCCATTACTTTTTTACATAAATGGTGACCTATTACAAAAATTGCTCGGAAGTCTAACCAGAAAAAGATATACGACACAGAAAAAGAAAAGTTCTTTTGAATTGATGATGATCAAATTTAAAAGTCAATTATATCCTGCCTTGACTTTTAAAGTTCAATGCACTCCTGACCATTGATTTGAACTTAAAAGACCTACTTAAGGCTGACCAGGTAAACTGGGACAGGTCTACGACATGTCAGATTGATTTCTTAGTCACAAGATGTCAGTAGTAATAGTTGGTAACATAGAGGGGGACGCAACCTTCACCTTGTAAAGCAGGACAAATTTGACATCTACATATATATATATATATCAACAAACTCCTTCTTTTGTTACGATAACTGGGTATATGTATCGCATACATTATATAAACGCTGGCCAAACAAAGCTGCCACACTTCTGCCGGGGTCTATTTCTATGTATATACCTCATTTTTCATAGTTAACCTCACCCCATTCGTTATTTCACAGACAAGGGTCATAAATATTTGGAAATAAACCTTTATTTTCCCCCTGAACATGAAGTCAAAGTCAGGAAATAAAAAAGCCCAGTACATATTTTACTGCCTTAGCAATCAATTTTTACTCAAATGCAAATTATTCTTTTAAACATATTGTTTTAATATTGGGTTTTTAAGTTAAATTGCATCAAACTAACGAAAGCTGTCTTGTCAAATATTCACGGATTATCCTAGAATATACACGGTAGTAACAGTAGCCTTATTATTAAATCGCAATGTTATTAGTAAGCGTGACACAATATGACAAGTACCCGTACTGAGAGCAGCCATAGAGCTAAACTATCGTTACATATACTGTGCTAGAGTCTAACATGACTGACTCCCATTAATAATAAATGTTTAGTGTTGTCAGCGTTTAAACCCTATCACCATTCGTTTGTTTTTGCTATATTCTTCTAGTAAAAAAACTAATAAAGATATTCATGACGTTCAGGAAAGCTTACGACTATTGTAATATGATTGGTACAAGGAAACCAAGGGAAAGGCAGCTATACTATCATGTTGTAATTAATATGTATTTATTCCAGACAAACAGAGAATTCAATTATTTTGATGAAAAATACTACGTATGTAATTTCATTCTTCACTTAAGGAATTGATATATGATATCTACCCCACCTTTGCATACCGAGATATGTTTTAGACACCTACGTACAATAGACTCACCGCGCGACATGAATATATGAATATAATGAAGTATAATGGGAAGAAGAGTTCTTGAGATGACATCCGTGACCCAAGTTTATTAGATTTCATAAATTCCACTTTGGGGCTTGTCTGTCAAAATTTCATTCATATTTTCACTTGACCTACAGCAACCCCGTCTGATTTCACTCTGCCCTATGTTTACTCCCACGTTAACTCATTCACCCCCGTAGACACATTTGAACTCTTCCGATTCCAAGGTTGGAATAGTTCATTATGAAATGTCAGGGGTGAATGAGTTAATGAATGGTAAACAAGTTTGAAGCACAGTAAATACCAGCTACTTGTTCAATGAAACCTTCCGACACTCTAGGTCCGTGCTTGGCAACCGACCAAAGATTTTCACACTCTTCAACACAAAAGTATTCTTGGGTCGGAACCATACAAATGATACATCAATACAAAACCAAGAAATATGGAAATCGCAGGAATTTCTTAACAAAAGTTAAAGCTAAAGAAATCACAATCCGAAACATATATGACCTTCATTCAACAACCCCTAAACCCTCCATGTGCATTCTGCTGGTAACCGACAAATTAAAGGCCCGGAAGCAAATATGCTTTGTATTGCATAGAAAAGCGCTGACCCTAAAACTCCATACTGCCTGAATACCAGAGGATCACTTCTGCTTCCTGTATTACTGACCCCAAACAAGTACAAGTTTTAGTGAGGAAGGAAGAAAACTTTAAATCTCGTATTAATGACGATGTATAAATTGAAAGAGGGCATAAATTCATATCTCAAAAAGCCGTAAGAGGTTAGACATTTAAATCTAGAAATCGATCATGATATATTCATAGAAGATGCATTAAATTCAAATCTTGGAAACCCATAAGGAGTTGGACATTTAAATCTCCAAAACTGATCAGGATATAAATTGAAAACGGAAGAATTACAAATCTCCGAAAGCCATAATTATTAAGTTTCTTTGGTTCCTACCCCATTGAGACTAAGATTCTAGTTCTTCACACCGTGAAGAAACTGTACCTGAACCTGTCAGGGACAAATCTAGACTTGAATCATTATATATAATTACCGTTTATGGGTAGTTTACCCTACAGTAGAAAATTTCCCTGTTCTTTGAAATTCCCCTTCTGTTTCCCTTAGTTCAACAGTTAACATGCATAAAACTTCAAATACCGGGAATTTAAAAAAAAATAAAAATAAGCTTAAAATTGTTTTTAAAATGAAATAAACTGCACACATGTATGTCGGACAAAACATTTATCTTTTACCTTCGTGACGATAGAGCCTTGTATCAAAATTTTAAATTTCCCCCAAAACTGAAAAAGGGTATTTTCCCCTAAAACCTAGATTGATCTGATCCCTGCCTGTCAAAAGTAAACTATCTGATTTTCTATGACAGACATCAGCCGGTCACATTCCTTTCTGACCTAGAGTGTGACTGATACCAACATCCCAACTGTTGGAAATGATTGCGCTGTCAGAGATCATCTATGTCAGGTAGGAAAGGCCCGACTCATAAACCACCAACAAAAATCCCAATTACCACCAGGGCAGGAACCATCACACCCACCATGCATGCATAATAGTACAAGGGTCGGCCATTAACAGCCACCAGATGGCAACCCTAAACCGACCCGTTCCAACAGTAGTTAATTCAGTATTCTGACAAGGGATTACCCCTGGGAAAAAATATTTGACCTATATTTTATTTTTTTACAACATAACAAAAATGAAAACCAGACCATGAGAAAGTCGCACATTGCTGCAATAATTGGAAACAGGTTCCGCAACAACCTCGCAACTTCCTGTCAGCAACTTGCTGCTACGTCTATCAGGAGTTTTTTTTATCACTTTCGCAATCTGACGCAATGTACATTATTGATATGGCTCTAACAACCCCAATGTTTGTCTTCACAGCGGTACAGTAAATGGGATAGTCTTGTTTTCCTTGGAGGAATGTCACAGCGCAACTATCTGCTGTCAACCGTAGTACAACTAATAAAACACTCTCTATATATGGGACACATGTGCATACCGTACAGTTTCTTTTTCAATACGACAGCTGGCACTCCAGTGCAAAAAAAAAAAGACATTTAAAACCTTTTAAATTTCATTTCAATTTTTTTTAAACTACCCCTAACTTTATTTTTTGATTAATGACATCTGAATAGTGTTATAGAGTTTAGGATCTTGATTAAGTAGCTAAAAGCTGGTGTATTCTGTAATGATTCAGTCAATTATCGGAGGAGAGCCTATTCCCCAACAGCTGTTTCTTTTCCTTCTTTTTTTACAATATACAAATTTAAAACTTGTATACGCACTGCCTGACATGTATGTCAGACGTAAACTGTGGGTATGAGTATACAAGTAGATCTTATGTAATGAATAATACCCTTGAAAAATCTTTTCTTACCTCAACGTGTCCTTCATAAGCAGCCATGTGTAGTGGGGACCAGCCGGCATTGTCCTTGTGCATCTCATCCAGACCGCGGTCAAGCAAGTGCTGGACAATTTCCACATTGCCCTGAGCCGCGGCAATACTCAGCACAATCCGTCCTTCGGAATCTATCGTATCCACGGCACAGCCCCAGAAAAGGAGCTGGTTCACAATCTTTGAGTGTCCCATGGACGCTGCAGCTAGTAATGGTGTCCGGCCTTTTTTATCAGCGTGATCACAATCTGCATCCGAATCCAACAATAGTTCACAAACGTCCTTGTGACCTTCACATGCGGCCACTAGAAGTGGGGTCATACCGTCCTTGTCCTCATGATTGACCTCTGCTCCCTGTTCTAAGAGGATGCTAACCACATCTTCGTGACCTTGACTTGCAGGGATACACAGCGCCGCGACGGACAATGCCGTACGACCGTCACAATCCTCGTGGTTGATGTCAGCATCATACTTTAACAGGTGGTTAACAATTTCTGCGTGACCCATGTAGGCTGCAGCAATTAGTGCCGTCCGCCCCTCGTTATCTGCTTTGTTGACATCAGCATTATGTTTCAGCAACTTCATAACAATTTCCTCGTGACCTCCCCATGCTGCGGCCCTCAAGGCCGTTCTCTGGTCAGCATCGGCATGGTTGACATCAGCGTTGGCACTCAGAAGTAAACTAACCACATCCGTGTTTCCACCCCAGGCAGCTGACCGAAGTGGTGTCCAGCCATCTCCATCTGCATGATCAACTTGAGCACTAGCCTTGAGAATTGCAGCCACGACCTCTGGATGGCCTTGTCTGGCAGCTAGGTTCAAGGCTGTTTGACCATTCTTATCAATCGCTTCCAATTCCACAGATTTTGACAAAATAAAGTTTACTAGTTCTAGGTTCCCTTGATGTGCTGATGTATGTAACAATGTCCGACCATTGCTGTCGATCTGATTTATAGGGATATCAAGTTCCATCGGAAGCTTAGGTTCAGCCTCGGCTTCCTCTATCATGCTCGCATGAAGACTTGCTGTTTGTGCCTCCTCCGAGTCCTCCGGAGGCTTGGCACCAGCATCCAGTAAAAGCTTGGTAACCTTCTGTTCCTTAGGCACACCTGCTGACAAGCTGTCCTCCACGTTAGCCTCTGACAGCAGCAATATCTGTACCAAGTGGTGATGCTGAAGTGGGTCCTGTAAATTAGCCTTCACCAGATGCCCGGCAAAATCCTGTACTTGCAGAGCAGTTAATTTGGGGCCATTTACCATGGAATGCATTGCCAACATGCCATGGCCGTCAGCAGCCAGGCATAGATACTTCTGTGTGCAGTGCTTCACATCCAGCAGCCACTCTGCGAAACTGTGATGGAACAGTATTTTGCACTGGTCGGGGCCTTCTGTTAGTATTTTAGATAATAACTTCAGTCTACCTAGGAATTCCTTCTCCGCGAGCGTCGTGTTTTTTGTCCTCACACACTGAAACAGTTCAGACTCACTGAGTGGCGCACGGGAGGCCAGAATCACATTCAGAATCGGCTGTATCTTGGTGAATTGCTTACGAACAAACAATCTTTGGCACAACCACAAATACAAACCATTCAATGTTCCGGGAATTTCACGAATTTCTCTCAGCATGATAAAATTCTCAGCCACACCATCCAACACTTTCTCTAAATATAGGAAACATCCATTGCTTTTAATGTGCAATTGGTTTAACATTTCCGCAGTGTCGCGACTGAGGTGCTGTCGTAACTCCTCCTCTTGGTCGAGGCGACACAGGATATACTGTTGGACATCTCGAACTACGTGTGATTTCCTCAAATCATCCAAACTAATTTTACGAAACCCTGTGAACAGTCGTGTCACCGACTTGCTCTGTTTACGAGATGAGCACACCAATAAAAGCCACTTAGGGAAATCTGTGTGATGATTGGCTAACAACTCGGCGATTGTTTTACTGCCAGTAGTCCTGTCACTAGTACAGGTTAGGTATGACTCGTCCACAGAGTCCACGAGCATGAACAGGGTCTGTTTTGGCGACTCTAATGAAGACAGGGGCTCCAACACGGCCCTCTGGAATGCCACATCGGGATTTTTTTCACATTCACTAGGGCTAATTAACTGTTGTATTTCCGCGGAACTAACAAGCTCCCTGTAACCACTGATCAGGTTTGACTCCCGTAATTGTTTTATAAGGTCACGGATAAAACAAGCCAGTGACAAACTACCGATGTCATGAGCTTGACAAAAGTGGAAGGACAGAATTCTCTTATTCAACACCTTCTGTTTGCCCTGTGAGGCTATCGGCCACACAAGTTCACAGCACAAGGCAGTTTTGCCACACCCCGGTCCGCCCATAATGAGCGCGCCACATGTTTTGGATGAGGGTCGGTTCTCAAGGCAGTGGTTGATTTTACTGAAAGCCCACTCCCGGCAGAAAAAGCGCTTGCCTTTCAGCAGACTATTAGCCATTTTTATATACCGCTATCGTACCAAATTAAACGAAATGATAATCATATCCAGATGTTGGAATCAAGATAATTTGTTCACATCCCTCCTAATTTGTGTTAAAAGTATTATCACATCAAAGTTAATCCTGATATTTATAATCAGATGTTTACACATTACACATAATCTGTCACTTTTGAATTAACGAGCAAAATAAATAATTATCTCACATCTCCGCAGGTAATTCACCAACATGTCACGAAAAAAACAGGTGTCGTTTCTTCCCCTTTTTTCAGAATAATATCCTGGTGTTTTTTGCGTCATCTGAAATATACAAGAAAAAAGGCCACATTAACTCAAATTAATTAACAATCCTGACAATACCTTTCGTCATCTGAAATTTAAAAAAAAAATCAATTAATTGTAGTTAAATATAAATCTTACCACAGGATTAAAAAAACCGCCTCACATTAATACAAAAGGTCTGTCCATCATACAGATATACCGGGTATGATTATTGCCGTAATCGCTATAAATAAGCATCTGTGTCCATATATATATTAAATGTGTATATTACACCATACTGGATTTTTCTTTGTAACCAACAAACCAGCAGTAATTTATAATCATAAACCTATCAAATTCCTCTGCCATACTAACAGACCATTACACATGGAGTAAATGAGCCATTCGTATGCAAATTATTCTAAATTTCGACGAAGTGAGACAATAGCCGTTAAAGGGTGTCGTAGCTCTGTGATTATAGATACTGTACACAAATGTGGTTTTAACATTTCAACCCCGAGATCTCCATGAAATGATAAATTATGTAATAAATTTATACATGTAATGCAGGGAGAAAACTCTATAAAATATAATTATGAATAAATAAATTTACCTAAAACACATATAAATGAATCTTTAATGCATATCAATTGCACCAAGTCTAGATGATGTATAATGAATGTTCAACTCATCAACAAAAAAATACCAGTAAAAACTGGCCGCTTATCACATTACCAGTTTAAATTAATACTTTTATTGATTTATGTGTGTGCAAATCATTTAACAAGCTTTTCAGATACCATATTTTACCTATAATAAACCCAGGGATACATTTCTTATCCATAATATGAACCTACAATTTATTAAGATATACTGATCAAGGGCTGGGTTTATACTAAACATGGGCTTAGCAATGAAACAGTAAACAACTTCTAATCACAAATGTGATAAGATGTTTATTAAAGAAATACAAATGTACACCCATAAATAAAGTATGATATAGATTGTCAGATTGTAGAGGTAAGGTATGCTAGTGTCAGATTGTAGAGGTTAGGTATGGCAGTGTGTCAGATTGTACAGGTTATTTATGGTAGTGTCAGATTGTACAAGCAAGATATGGTAGTGTGTCAGATTGTACAGGTAAGGTATGGTAGTGTGTCAGATTGTGCAGGTTGGTTATGGTAGTGTCAAATTGTACAGATAAGGTTATGTACTATGTCAGATTATAGAGGTTAGGTATGGCAGTCTGTCAGATTGTACAGGTAAGATATGGTAGTGTGTCAGATTGTACAGGTTAGGTATGGTATTGTGTCAGATTGTACAGGTAAGGTATGGTAGTGTCAGATTGTACTGGTAAGGTATGGTAGTGTGTCAGATTGTACAGGTTAGGTGTGGTAGTGTGTCAGATTGTACAGGTAAGGTATGGTAGTGTGTCAGATTGTACAGGTTATGTATGTTTATGTGTCAGATTGTACAGGTTAGATAAGGTAGTATGTCAGAGTATACAGGTTGTGTGTGATAGCATGGGGCAGTAATTGATTGCCTAAATCACATGAGGGTGTGACCAAAGTCACTCTAAGGACCATTATAATGAAATGTCAAAACCAGACAATGGTAGGACACCCCACTCAAGGGAAGCAATACATGACAGCATATATCATGACAGCATATATATATATATATATATATATATATCATTCCAGTTCTGAGAAACAATGAATAGGCTATAAATTAAGATATTAACCCTAAGTACCTATATAATGTTCCTAGTGCTGAAATCATTTGTGCCGTGATCACTGGTACAATAGCATAACTTCTATGTAAAGACACAAAGTCATCAAAATGGACGTGTCATCAAATTACTTGAACACTTGGAAGTCATATATCCTTATCGAATACATGAGAGCTTTGCTATGGGTTGACATTCCACTAAAATACTAGACATGCTCCCTAGTGCTGGCTGTTAGCCAGTGTTCCAGATACACTTTAATCAGGTATGTCCAAACCCTGACCCAGGGGGGGCACCTGAAGTCTCCTATAGACACAACAATGGTGCCCTGTTCAAACTGTCAGGATCCTGTACCAATGGAGAGGCAGGAAGTGACCCAGTAGGGTCAACGAATTGGTCAAGCTGACCAGTTTACTCCCAAAGGCAAGTGTACTTGGGTAATTAGCACCATCTTGACCACCCCCATTGACCTAATGGTCAACCTGGCCGGAGTAACAGGTTTGATACACAAAGTCACGGACATATAATTGGTTGTATTAGTATTATAATACAGCAACACATTACACAGGTACTCCGGACACTGGTAGGGTTCTCAAGACCCTATAGGATAAGCAAAGCGTAATGGAATCAAGCTAATTACCTATTAAATGAATACAGAATGCCAATAAATCTACCCCATTATAAATATTAAGTGTAATATATTGGTCTCTGTGTGTACAGTATATGTGTGAAGTCCATCAGTTGTGTATTGAATATATCTAACCTGACCGATATCGATGTGTATTGCCCGCTGTCATATCGGCCTAATTGGTCAAACGAGGCCAGAGGGTAGCTGATCAATACAATGAAATCTGAGTTGGACACGTTCAGTATAATATAAAGCACGCACGTGCATTTATTCCAATACATGCGCGTACATTCTTTTGATCCCCTGAAAATGTCTTTTAAACTTGATCTATTTATCCATGTGTCACTCCAAATTCACGAATAACGCATGTTACCAGATACGTATGAACGTCTCTGCTTTTATCAATAGAATTTGAAAGTAAGAAATGGCCGAGACGTGCTGTAGACGATCAATCATGTATGCTAAGTAACAGCTACAATACATGAACGTGACAGCAACATATACAAATTAAATTAGCACCACAACATTTACTTGTTCACTAATATATCATCAGAAACTATGGATAACTGTCACTTTTGATGAAGATAGCTGGAGCACCTGCTTTTATGTAGCTGACGTAGTGTTTACGGTCTTGCTAGACCCTTCAGACTGTTCTTGTCTGACCTGCTAACCCATGCAGCTATCGATCCTTACCTGAAACTGGCGATATTGTTCCGCGTTTCCTCCAAAATGTATTAAAAATCCATGAAAGATAAACACTAAATCCAAAATAAAGCTTAATTTGTGTACAAATCCCAAATCCGGGATGCTTGCTATTATAAAACCTCACCGCTATATATCCATTCACTGTTAGCCCGATGTTGTGTGGTTATTTTTATCGCGTGCGGACAAAGATAGCTAGGGGAGTGTCTACATTAGAATATCGCACTCTCATTGGTTGAGACGTTTCGTCTCAATCAGCTGTAACCCATTGAGTGACAAGTAACACTATTTTACTACGTGTGTTTATACGTGACTACGACAAAGAACGTTGACTTGTATAGTAAAAGTGCTTTTGTTGTAACCGTCTCATAAAACATGAATTCGTTTATACAAAATATGATGTATGGAACAGTAAACAATTCATGTAAGTTTGGACATAGCTACATTGATTTATTTATGGACACGTCTAGTTCATTTGTAAATACCTACAGTTTAATTTACACAATTATCATTGTGTACATGTGGTGTCTGCGTACTATCAGCCAGACATAGATCTAGAGGCCATGATAAACTTACTTAGTTCAGATATGGAGTCTGGAAGCTGGTCCGAACTGTTGTTCACAGTTGAGAAACTAACGCTAATATATATTGTACACATATCCGTGAAGATTTTTTTTACTATACAGTGTAAAATCATTATTTTTTTGTTTTTAACTTTTAAAAATAAATGTTTTGTGTGTCATTAGGAGGCTAAAGAGCACAGACGTTGTTATGTTGAAGTCAGTTTGAAAAGCTTAATTTTGTTTGAGTCAGTAGTGCATGGACCAGAGACGTATATAACGTATATATGTGTTATATACGTCTCTGGCATGGATGCAGACTGACCTCTTTGGTATATATATGTACGTGTCGTTCCGTTTTCAAAAAGTTCTATTTAGAAAGTTACTATCAACTTCCCAAGATATCCAACATGTAGTGCTCAGGGGCCACGAAAGTCCGGTACTTGTAGATAGTATAACACCGTTCTTGATGTGACGGTAATATCATTGGGCGTTTTGGGGGTTAAATTGACACACCTGGCAAATTAATACGTCACCCCATTGATCAGACACGTGCACGGATACGGCTATGTTCGCTGTCAGCGTAGACCAGATTTGACAGGCCTTTGTTTCAGTATCAGAATCCCCGTATGTACAAGTATTAGAGTCCCCGTATGTATAAGGGTAGAATATCTGGGACTGATACCTCTCAATGATATTAGTAACTCACAAGTGTTTGATATCTGAGTATCTACACGTTGCATCATTGTTCAAAACTTAACAGTGACCAAGAAAGACAGCCATAAATATGTATGATACACATATTTACGAGCTGGAACACATTTGTTGCATTAGAAAACGTGGTTTTTTTTAATGAACTACAAATAATTCAATACAACATCCGGTATGTCACTGTCAAGTTAACTCAGGTTCCCTAAAGGTAGTATATTAAGGCAATATGCTACCTTTCAAACTACATCTGTAATTTTGCGTTGGAGTTATCTCCCATGCTTATATCTTTTAATTAGCCTGATCTCATAACTAAGGATTGTCAAGTGTTGCTTGCGTGTGTTTTCCTGTGTGTAATATATAGTGACTCACAACAGGGACGGTATATCATCTATAAATCCCTGGTCTAAATTTCCATTCATAAGAAATGACCGAATTCTTAGCATAGAACTTTTTCGGTAAGGACATCAAAATGGATATCCTCAATTAGTAGCGGTAGGGTTTAGTTCTGGGCGTGAACGCCTGACCAGATGTATTGTAAATCTCTAGCCTTTGCGATCATTGTAAAGGTCGCCCCATAGTGACCTCACCGTGTCCGAATTACGTGCATCAGTGGGCCTTGAGGGCGGTCAAGACTGGACGAACAAGACACAGAAGTTGATAAACGTACAGTTAGCTTCAAAAAATTATTGAACGCAGAGTTTCATCTGCA